CTATCATCATTAAATCTGTACAACTCTGAACATGCAACACAAAAAAAAACACAACAGATTATTATAATCAATCCTCGTTGTTTTCTCCATATAAATTTTCTGCATACTGGCAAACAAGTTTTTTTTGTTTTTTTTTGTGGTTCAAATAAAAGATAGGGAAGGTAGCTGTTAAGACATTGAAATAAAACATAGGGAAGGTAGCTGTTAAGACATTGAAATAAAACCAACTCAGATTTAAATCAACACTGACATCATTTTAACCATGACACCCCCAGTAATATTTCAAAAAAAGACCGCAGTAAAAGATTGATGCAGTCCAGGTAATAAAATCAGTGCCATTACATGACCTTTGGCGCCCCCCCCCCCTTCCCCCTCACCACTCTATCACTGTTTTTGTACCCCCACGGCATTCAACTTTAACGGTTGAAAATGTTTACCACATCACAACTTTCGGGCCCCTTAAATATCGGCTGCCCTCTGCAGCCTGCAGGGGCTGAAGGGCCCACGCGACGGCACTGAATACAGTTAATACAAATCATGTGTTTGGGTCAACTGTGGCTCAATTTGACTCAAAAGAATTTGGCTCGTGTTTCATCCCTGAGGTGGTGAAGTATACTGAAACAGTCAAGTTGAAGTTACAGTACAATGAAACAATCGAGTTCAAGTCCATTGAAACAATCAAGTTCAAGTCCATTGAAACATTCATGTTGAAATAATATATAAATCAAGTTCAAGCATATTCTTCTAACAAAATAGTTGAAGGCTTGCAATAAATCTCAACAGCTGTTCATTACATCAACAAATTATGGCACTTTGAGAAGATGACGGGGGCCGCTGTTTGCCTATAATTACATATGATTTCTCTTGATCCCTCACGTAGCTTCCATCATGTTTTCTAATCAGTGTGTAGAATACCTGCAGGAATGTGCGAGTCTGTGAGGTCTTTGTATGACGCATGTTAGTTTCATCCATGTAGGAACTACACAAGTCTTTGCTATATGGTATGCGTTAAACCTGCTATATGGTGTGTATTTAACCTGCTATATGGCATGTGTTAAACCTACTATATGGCATGTGTTATACCTGCTACATGGTATGTGTTAAACCTGCTATATGGCATGTGTTAAACCTACTATATGGCATGTGTTAAACCTGCTATATGGCATGTGTTAAACCTGCTATATGGCATGTGTTAAACCTGCTATATGGCATGTGTTAAACCTGCTATATAACATTTGTTAAACCTGCTATATGGCATGTGTTAACCCTGCTTTATGGTATTTGTTTGACAATTGCATTGGCGGCATCAGTTGAACACAATCTACATAAGCCAAGGGGGACTGCTACCGTCACTGACATCACAAGGACATGTTCGAGTCTGTGAGGCTGACACCCGACAAATCCTGACACACACGTGAGTCACTCATCTCATCGGCCAGGGCATCGAGCACATCTAGAAGGAGTTCTCGACTCAACCTCCTTAATGAGGGCAGTCTGGCAGCCTTCAAATAAAATTGGTTGAAAAGAAACAGAAAGATGGTTACTATGGTTTGTTAAGTAAAGATATTTGCTATGGTATGTTACATAAAGATATTTGCTATGGTGTGTTACATAAAGATAATTGCTATGGTGTGTTACATAAAGATATTTACTATGGTGTGTTACATAAAGATATTTGCTATGGTGTGTTACATAAAGATATTTGCTATGGTGTGTTACATAAAGATATTTGCTATGGTGTTACATAAAGATATTTGCTATGGTGTTACATAAAGATATTTGCTATGGTGTGTTACAGAAAGATACTTGCTATGGTGTGTTACATAAAGATATTTGCTATGGTTTGTTAAATCAAGATATTTGCTATGGTTTGTTAAATAAAGATATTTGCTATGGTGTGTTACACAAAGATATTTTCTATGGTTTGTTAAATCAAGATATTTGCTATGGTTTGTTAAATAAAGATATTTGCTATGGTTTGTTAAATAAAGATATTTGCTATGGTTTGTTAAATAAAGATATTTGCTATGGTTTGTTAAATAAAGATATTTGCTATGGTGTGTTACATAAAGATATTTGCTATGGTGTGTTATATAAAGATATTTGCTATGGTTTGTTAAATAAAGATATTTGCTATGGTTTGTTAAATAAAGATATTTGCTATGGTTTGTTAAATAAAGATATTTGCTATGGTTTGTTAAATAAAGATATTTGCTATGTTGTTTTAAATAAAGATGGTGTTTTAGGTGTGTTAAATAAAAATATTTACTGTGTTATGTCAAACAAAGATGGCTCATATGGTGTGTTAAAATTAATGGTGGTTGCTATGGTGGGTTAAATAAAAATGGTTGCTATGGCTGTTCAAAAAAGATGGCTTCCACCGTGTGCTCAATTAAGATGGTTTCTATTGTGTGTTCAGTTAATAAATTATAAATCTATAATTTCAAATTTAGGAGAGCACAACTTTTTAGTGAGTCTGTGATTTATTCTCACTTTAGCGGTTACCTGCTTAGTAGGTGCGATTATTTTTATTTTTCTTCTTTTAAAATGTTCACCATTTTTCTATATATTAGGCCAGTAAATTAAAGCCCTCATTTTAAACTTAATTTAAGATAACTGAAACTTTGAACAACGATGGCTTACCTTAGTGAAATGGTGCACGATGATACTCAGGGCGTGTTTCTTCATGTCTGTAGCTTGGATTTTATCTGCAGCCTCTAGGATCTAATAGAATACAAATAATCCCACTCTAAATTAATTGCAAGACAGTTTGTCTCATGATAAAAAAAAAAAAATCATGTCTCTTAAAAAAATAAATAAATCTTGCCCCCAAGAGCAATTTGCAGAGCGATTCAAACATTTTGGCTGCATGGTGCAAAAATCTTTTGTGCAATTTACTTAGAATGATTTTTAAAATGTTTAAAAACCGTGCAGACCGAAAATTGTGATTATTTTTTTAAACGTTGCAATGCCAAGGTTTAATGTGCAGCTGAACTTATTTTCACTTAGGTAATATAAATATATGTTGGTACAAAAAAAAAACAACAACCTATATTTATTGGATTTTTGAATTCGCTGGCGGGCCAGACCAAATGATCCCACAGGCCTGGATGTTCCCGACCCCTGGGGTTAGAGGGTACTTAAAAAATCCTATTTCATAATGAAAATCAGGGCTACACTGATGACTAAGCTGATTCATCTTAATCCCAAAACTGCCCTACTGACACAACATCTTAATCCCAACACTGCCCTACTGACACAACATCTTAATCCCAACACTGCCCTACTGACACAACATCTTAATCCCAACACTGACCTACTGACACAACATCTTAATCCCAACACTGACCTACCGACACAACATCTTAATCCCAACACTGCCCCACTGACACAACCTCTTAATCCCAACACTGCCCCCACTGACACAACATCTAAAACCCAACACTTCCCTATTGACACAACTGTTCCTACCTGTATGACATTCTGATATGACACGTTCATCTCCAGATTATGTTTGCAGAAAGCCTGGTATGGAGTACAATAGAAACAGAATTAATAGAGTAAACAACAGCATTTACTCATAAACAGACACATAGTACATAAGTCAAAAACTTTAAAACGAAACAAATTTATTTCGGAAAAAATTTAAATTACATTTATTAAATAGATCTGCAAAAATATTTTTTTAAAAATTGTGCTCCATTTGTACATTCCTTAAAGAGAGTATATTCTAAAAGATCATTATTATTTGAGGCAAATTTAAAAGTCAGTGGAAAGAAAGTTAATGTTTATCACTGTGCTATCTCAGGGACTCACCTGAAGCCTGTTATTGGTAAAGCCATAGAAGTAGGGAGCAGCAAACAAATACAAGGAATCCTCAGGGGGCATAACAATATCCCCATGGTAGATGTACCTCATGAGGCTATCAAAGGCCTGTCGGGATGGAACCATCTCACCAATGGCAATCTGAATTTCAGGAAAACAATTTTTTTTTTAAAAATTAAGAACTTTTATTGTTATAGGAGACTGAAATTCCCTTTAAGTCTTTCACTACTGCCGTTTCTTTTGTGCCACAAGTTTTCCAGGTATTTCATCCAGGGAGCTGGAGGCCAATTAAGATTTTTAGGGTTAGTTTTTAAAGAACTTCGTATTTGTTTTTAAAGACAACACAGTGAGGAATGTTGACCAATTAACTCATTCCTTATGGTTGAGGCTGAGTGGAACCGGGGAGTCGGGTTTGTCAGATGGATGTGTCCCGATACACCTCTCTCATTTTTATTTTAAAATATAAATTTTATCACACGCCCCTAAAATATTCCACTGACAGCTTGATTTCAATTTTTAAAAGCATGAATATTTGATGTTTCACTTTAAATATTTGTGCACTTTAGTATGGTGCGTCTTATCCACCTGTTTCCATATTTTTAGCAATGGAGATTCAAAAACGCTTCATTCTGAATATGTGATTGCTTACTTCAGGTTATAATAGTATTACTATAGTACAAAACCCAATTTGTTCTGTGAAAATGGCTCATAAGTCGGATATGAAACATAAAAATTTTTTTTAGCTGGTACCCAATGAAAGCTTAATCATTTTATTATTTTTTCATACCAAGTTCGGCGATCTTTCACAGAGAAATAACCATATATTTTATTATATCAATAATGGGAGGAGGGGAACAAGATGGCACTGGCCTCTGTATTTCTAGATCCAAGGTAACTCATCAATATCTATCAATTTTTTGGTTGTTGGTCATTATTTTTTCGCAAATAGTACTTGATTTATGGATGCAATTATCCTTGATTTTTTAAACTTAATTAATATTTAGCAGCTAAAAAATGTTTTTTTTTACAATTGTAAATCAATTGCTAAAAAGGAGTTACTTCCCTTTGTTTAGGACTATTGCTTTAAGCATGGAAGTAGCACAGCCACGGGGAATGAGCTATGAATTAAAGAAAACATACTAATCATGATCAGCATAGGTCAGAGTCAGGGTCATGGATTATAGCCGCAACAGGAGCTACAGACAGTTATTTTTAAATCAATTTTCATTCTAAAATTTTACATCCTAAAACTAAAACAGCCAAACAAATTGAACCCCAACTCACATTGACTAAATTGTCCTGTGGTGTAAATGACCTGAACATCGCCTCAAAGTAGCTGCTCCGGGCTCCAAGGATGGCCTTGTGAGCGGGGATTTGAATTCCGTCCAGCACGAGAGTTATGTCACAAAACTCCTGGCCACCCACTCGGAACTGAGCCAGGTCTTGCTCTAGAGAGTTACCTGTGAGAATTATCGCGGTTGAACATACAGTGCTGGTGAAGGATGACCTAGCTGCCTATGACTTAATACAACCGTTAGACAGCTCGATGCCCAGCTACTTGCTGCCTATGACACAATACAACCGTTAGACAGCTCGATGCCCAGCTATTAGCTGCCTATGACTTAATTCAGTGCCAGATAACTTAATGTTTAAGTGATGCTGATTGGGGATGGCCTAGCTGCCTATTACTCAATACAACTTTTAGACAGCTCGATGCCCAGCTATTAGCTGCCTATGACTTAATTCAGTGCCAGATAACTTAATTTAATGTTTAAGTGATGCTGGTTGGGGATGGTCTAGCTGCCCATGACTTAATTCAGTGCCAGATAACTTAATGTTTAAGTGATGCTGGTTGGGGATGGCCTAGCTGCCTATGACTTAATTCAGTGCCAGATAACTTAATGTTTAAGTGATGCTGGTTGGGGATGGCCTAGCTGCCTATGACTTAATTTAGTGCCAGATAACTTAATGTTTAAGTGATGCTGGTTGGGTATGGCCTGGCTGCCATTACTGAATGGTTAATGAAACAACCCTTAAAAACAAAGTTTTTCATATAAATCCTTTAAAAAATGTTGTATCAAGCAATGGGGGGGATGGGGCTGAAAAGTTGACAAAACCATGCATTCAAGTAACGCACTTTATAAGAATCCCAATTGGTGCTTTCACCCCCACCCTCCCCCAAATGCTCGCAACCGCACATTTTTTTCATGCCTCCTGACCTATATTAATATTCTAATGACCCAACCGCTTTTATTAAACCAACTATTTCAGAAAAACGAAAGAAAATAATATGCATTAATCGCAATTGCAATATTTTTTAAAAAGAATCTCATTTAGCGCAGTTATTTTATTTCATGAAATCAGTGGCATCACATATCAAATATCCTTCATGATGCCTTTGAAAAACAGATTTTTGGGGGTTGGGGTGCTGGTTGAAAATTCAATAAATGTGTTGTAATGGGCAATATGTACCAAGTATAAGCTTGATAGGTTGATGGGAAGTGTGTCAATGAACCATCCGAATAATATTGCCACACACCCAGAAATAAAGGAACACATGAACAAAAGCAAATTTAATGTTAAGGATTTAAAAATGACAAGATCCATTTCATAGGACTCTATGGAGCACTTTTTAAAAGTCTAATATTTTTAATTTGCTATCAACCAAAGTTCGGTCTTTAATTTATCATTAGTCATTGAAATTCTCTTTAAAAAAAGATTTAAAAGAAAGTCAAGGGTGATTAAAGTGAAGCTAATACTGCTTGACAGAACCAGATTTCTTCAATCACTTGACCATTTCCTTATCTTCCTTTTATTAATAAGACCAAATTGAATTTTGACGTAATTTAAAAAAAAAACGGTTGAGTGTGAAAGTATTGTATGGTTTATTTAGCCAAAAAGGAGAAAAAAAAGACTCACTCGCTAGAGGTTCTGGCTGAGGATCGAGCAGACGCACCGGGGGCTCCAGCTTTCTACGAATAATTTCGACAATCAAAGGTTTGTCCAGGGTCTCAAACTCCTTACTCATGACTATTTGGTTGTAGTTGGCTTCCTTGACTATAAACCTTAAACAGAAACCCTGCAATGCAATCAGAAGATTAACTGCTGTATTTAAAAGCCATGAAATGTGTTACATGTACTTCCTGTAAAGAAGATGCAAAAAAAAAAAAGAAAAAAAAAAAAAAAAAAGAAATTTAAAATTAAAAAAAAAAAAAAAAAAAATAAAAAAAAAAAAAAAAAAAAAAATAAAAAAATAAAAAAATATTTAAAAGCCATGAAATGTTTTAAAATTACTTCCTGTAAAGAAAATGCAAAAAAAAAAAGAAAAAAAAAAAAGAAACTGAATTTTAATATTTAAAAAAAAGAAACTGAATTTTAATATTAAAAAAAAACATCAACTTATTAATTGATATAGATGTTTAAAAGCTAAACAGAGAAGGGATATAAATAGAGAGTCTTGTCTGAGATGATTGGATTGGGAAGACTGGGAGGCTGGGAAAAGACAGACCGCAAAGAGGAGATCCAAAACCCCATTCCCAACAGAGCAATGATGATAACAGTTTGTAGAAAGGGCATACTAAGAAAATGATGCAGTACCTGTAAGTTTTTACATGTAGACATCATATGACCTAGTCAAGTGGTCGGCAAATTTACGAGCCCCATGCAGCTCTTTAGCGACTTGAGTGCGTCTCAGCCACAAATCGGTTTTGACTCCAAAAACATGCTTCTTGACAGGTTCATGAAAAGAAATTTGGCTCTCAAAAATGTCTTAATCGTCTGTGCTGCTGATTTTTTGCTCTTTGACTCATGGGTTTGCCAACCACTGCCCTAGTCTATGACAGTACGTGGCTCTCACACCATCAACTCTTATTGTACAGCTACATAACATGTTAAAACCTGGCCAAAAAATACAACTGATGAAGGAGAGAATACCTTTAAGAAGTCGAGCTGGAGGCGAGCCGCATTCTGTAAAGCAAACAGCACGCTCTTGATCCCTATGCTGGCCTCAAGGAACTGGACACACAAGTGCTGTAGGCGACCCATTTGGAGCTGGGAAGAATTGGTGCGTGTAACGGATTATTGGGTGTCACATGAATACCGGCATGAATAAAATACATTGTTAAAAAACTACTTCGGCAAATACAAGCTAAACCCTGATGTTTAGATTTAGTGTGTCAAATCAAATGTTTTTATGGGAAATCTCTTTAGTTCTCTGAAAATAATGCTAACTTTTAATTGATATGATAAGAAAACAATATTAAATTGTCAAATCAAGTTGACCTAGGGATACTCTACCTGTAATGACAGCCTGTACACCTCCATCATGGCCAGGATGACATCATTGTTGTTAGCATCTTGACCTGTAAAATTAACTTTACTACATTAAAATCCTCGCTCTTTAGACCTGCAAAATTAACCTTATTTAATTAAAATCTTTGCTCGTCACTTTATTACAGACATTTCGGTTCTCTTTACATTGTTTAGAAACATGCAATTTTTATTCCTACCAACTGGGACAAGTCTGTCACACACAAAAAAAAAACAAATGTTTTTAATTCTTATATTCTCCATCCTTAAGATAAGATTCTTTTATTGATCCAAACAAATGGAAATGCTTTTTGATTGCATTGTACATTTTAAGCACATAAATAAAACAATTTGAACACGAGACATCCAGATTAAATTATTTCACTAGTAGAAAAAAAACAGCCATTCAGTGAATTCTCTTAGACATATCAGGGACTTAGTTCTCATTAAGATCTGTGATATTCTTAATTTGTAATACAAAATTATCACCAAGAAAAACCATGGTACATTAAAATATCTAACAGTTAACATTTGCACCACTGTGCTGCTATATATTTTTTGACATTGTTTAACTGACCTTTTTTCCCCGGGTGGATTTTGTCAGTGTATATGTAGGACAGGATCATTTCAAATGCTCCAGGATCTTTATCAGCCAGAAGCACTTCCAGTCTGCTTGTATCGCCTTTAACAGCTTGCTGGAAGTCAATGAAAAATCAAGCAGGTCTCAGAACCAGGTTTCATTTCATTTTAAAAAATATAAAAAATTTCATGTGGTATTTAGAAAGTATGTTTTAAATTAAGTTCTTTATTCTCTCCAGGATTTAAATAATTTTAAAAAATAATTTCAAGCGGCATTTAGACGGACCAGCGACATCGAGCGAACACTTGATTTTAAGTCATTTTTATGTTTTAATATCTTAAATGTTTTTTAATATATAATATATAAAGGTTTCATGCTGAAATGTTAACTTTTCAAGTATTTCAGTTTGCTATCAGCAATGAATGGTTCAGAAAATAATGATAATTTTTTATTTTTTTTAACTTTCTTAAGTAGGATAAATGCAATGGGAATGTGAAGTGATACACATCCAAGGACAAACCTGTGCTTTGGCCTGTCTAATTTTGTCTCGTAACCATGGTGATCTGGCTGCAACAACAGCTATGTGAGCTGAGATTTTTCTCTGATCCTGTAACACAAAAAAAAATCACATGATGTAATATTATAGTGGAGTCCAGGTTCAAACGCATCATATCATTCACATGAAGAAAACACACATCGCCAGTTTATGACACCAATCCTTACTTTGGAACTGACCATCACCAGCTACTCTGTGTTTATACTATTGACTACAACAGTGAAGTAGCTGTAACAATCCCACATTCACTTCTTGTTCCTGTAAAGTAAACGTCCATGCTTTGCACCCAAAAATCCCCCAGTGCTTATAACTCCAGCTAGATGTTTGCCCCGGTCATTGCCCAGTAGTTTCATCCCATAGGAAGGTGTTTTTTTGTTGCCAGAAAGGTATTCTTCTTGGCCAAGAATTACTGGGCTGATGAGTCCATTCCACCGAGCTATTAACTCAAACTATTACCTGCTAGTACTGATGTATTATGAAAACACAAGATATCACAGTTGCCCATCACAGTTGCATTTTAAAGATCTCTTAAAAGTGCATTGGGGAAAAGATTTTGGTTTTAAAATCATTTTTTTCACACTTCAACTTATGTGTCAAGTGGGCAAAAATAAATATAATAGCTGTTGCACAACTTTTGGTCTAAAATGTATAAAAATGTGATTACTCGGGTCAAATTATCTAATGTGTGTGTTTATGTTTAGTTGCAAAAGCCAAATTATCTAAAACGTGTTTAGTTCCATTACACAAGCCAAATCACCTATGACGCGTGTTTAGTTTCATTAAGCCAGCCAGGTCATCTAAGGCATGTTAAGTTTCATTTCTTAAGCCAAGTTATCTAGCATGTGGGTAGAGCTTCAACATTTTATTTACGCTGTAAAAAACAAACATACCACGCCCACTTCTCCGACCAGGAAGTCTACATCACAGAACTGTCTACTCTCGAGCAGACGACCGTAATCATCGTGAAGGGTACACTTGGGGTAGCTGGAAAACTGGAGGGAACAGGGAAAACATGAAGGTTTAAAAAAACAACATAATTAGCCGATATCAATAACTTTATTCACTATTTGATTTGCAGACCAGGAAAGGCAATTTAGGTGAGAGTGTGAATGCAGCGTGCGACAGTGAGGGAAGACCATAGATCAACAGCCAGCAGTAGCAAATCATTTATGTTAACTTGACTTATCTGGCACCAGTATCCAGCAGTTAAAACTGGATATTTTATTCAATAGCATTTTCTAAGCTTTTCAAAATGCACCAAAAAAGCAGATGCACATTTACAAGAAACCATCTCAAAACAGTTACATGTATACAAGGCACAATCAGAAAATATATGCATGTACGCATGACACCCTCCAGACAAAGAATCACCTTTGCAAACACCGTCCATTCACTGATGAAGCTTTACAAGACACCATACAGACACAGTAGCACCTTTACAAGACACCATAAAGACACAGTTGAAACTTTACAAGACACCATACAAAGACAGATGCACCTTTACAAAGGCACCGTTCAGTCACTGTTGCCCCTTTACAAGACACCATACACACACAGATGCCCTTTTACAAGTCACCCACCTGAAATCTGTAGATCTCACCACTCCTGACATTATTATCAATGGTTCCACCAAATATATACATGGCATCACTAACAACTCCAGCAGCATGGAATAGTCTACCAGCCGGGATCTGCAGAATGAAAGTATAACATTTGACTTATTGAACGACAAACCCATCTAAAATACACTCTTAGGCTTGGTTGCTATGAGCTTTCTTTCCCAATAGCATAAAAATGAGTATAGAGCCTTTTCAATCAACCCAGATGAACTAAAAGAAAAAAAAAAATGATAAATTTTTTTTTAAATCATCCAATCCCAAATTATTCTAATTAATCAAAAACATTTATTTGTACAGAAAATGAAATTTAAATAAATATAAGTGGGTAATAAGTATGGATTCATTAATAGTAAGGAAAATATGCAAAGTAATGATTTCTGTGTCAAAATTTTCTTACAAAGCCATTTCTAATCCGGCAAACAAAAAAAGTGACAACCTTAAACCTCTAATTATTCTTGGGTATTCCCTGTACTATTTAAAGAAACAAGAACAAGAATGATAACCCTGTCAACTTAAACAGAGATCACACACAAATCAGTTGCCACTCAGCATTCAAACTTGTTGTGATACCTAGACCCAGTTATGTGTGTGCTATTAAATTTTCAATTGGACTCTTATTTAAACAATGGCGTCAAAGTGTGTTTCATCTAACAGTGGGGCTGGCGGATCAAGGAAGAGGCCAAGTATCACGTTGGAGTGTACATTTGAAATGATCAGACAAACGGTGAAAGAGGAGAGGGACCAGCGGACATCCGAGCGTGCACTTGATTTTAGGTCATTTTTATGTTTCATATCTTAAACATGTTTTTAACATCTTAAAAACACCTTAGCATGTTTTAATTCCTTAAACATGATGTATGTACACTTATATATATGTATTTTAATACATACAAAGATAAACATGTACATATATACATATAGTTTATGTTCAGTAGGGTGCTTAGTAAATTACAGTGGCTTTCAAGTTATGTCGCCTTTGATTTTGAAAAACGGAACCCCCGTCGTAAATAAGGACCTCCTGCATATGGTCAGTCTTGAGTATTTAAAAAACATTAGCTTCCATGTAGAGCAGTTAACATGTTAGCTTAGTGTAAAGCAGCTGGGTGATTTAGTGTAGTCTTGTGAATGGAAACTGACATCACAGGTAAGACTGTTCGCAGATGACACAGCAGTGTATAGGACGATCGCCAACAGATCTGACCAGGATCAGCTACAACAGGATCTCAACCTGTTAGCTGAGTGGGAGATGAGCTGGGACATGGAATTTCACCCTGCCAAGTGCCAGACACTATCAATCTCTAGAAGTTGTACTCCTCTACACTACCAATACGAACTGCACGGCCATATACTTCAGCAAGTTTCCTCCGTAAAGTACCTGGGTGTTACCATTCAAAGAGAGGTCCACTGGGACGAGCATATTAACAATGTATGTAACCAAGCAAACAAGACCCTAGGGTTCTTAAGGCGAAATCTATAAAGATTGGCAACTCCTGTGTGAAAGAAAGAGCATATAAAGCCTTTATCCATCCGATTTTAGATTATGCATCTTCAGTCTGGGACCCATTTACCCAGAAGAGCATTGACAGGTTGGAGGCGGTCCAGCGACGAACAGCACACTTTGTCCTAAACCGCTACAGGAATACCTCTAGTGTTGGCAGCATGCTAGAAACACTAGGCTGGTCACCATTGGAGAAACGACGATGACAATCCAGGCTCTCTATGATGTACAAGATAAATAATGGGCTGGTCCACTATTAAACAGAAACTCGTCCCTCTCCCCCATAGACAGCGATGAGGCCATGACAGGCAATTCAGGCTCATACCAGCAAGAAGCCAGTATAGGAGCTGCTTGTTCCTGCCCAAGACAATCAGGGACTGGAACCATCTTTCAAAAGGAACGGTTGAGGCGACAACACTAGACACATTTGTGTCTATTGCTTCAAGCCTTCAAACCCCTAGTGCATGATTTCCTCATCAACACCAGCAACAGAAACATTGCAAATCCCATCTACATGCATAGGAGCCAAAATGATTAATAAATTGATCGTGGGCCCCTAAGATATAGAAGAAGAAGAATCAATATATGTATGTTGAAGCAAGTTGTATTTGCATCGGTGTTGAGTTTGCCATTTATCACAACCTGGACAGGTGAGAGAGACTTTTCTTAGGACGTAATCATCAAGCCATGTGTTTAAGTGACTCACCTCACTCTGCTGCGCTGGCTCTGTTATAGACCAAGTCTGGGAATCTAGGTCAAAACTGGAAATAAAATAATTTAGGGGCCATTTGTTTAAAAGATAAATTCATTTTATATACATTCATTTCCTTTAAGTAATTGATTGTTAAACTGTTGTGCATTATTTACAAGTAGTTGATTGAAGCACAGAAAAAAAAACTAAAAAAAAAACTGATTAATCTAAAAAGCAATGTGTCAACTTTTTTCTACATAAAAAAAAATAATCTGCTTGTAAAAGATGAACAAAAACAACCAAATCAGCTCAACAAATGAACAGTTAGAGTATGTGATATATATATATATATATATTTATATGTGTGTGTGTGTGTACACACCAATGTAACTCATTGGGTAAGGTCTGTCCAGTCGCTCCACCAAATACAAAGAGATGTCTGTCGAATGCCACCATTGTGTGTCCATAGCGTTTTTCGGGAGGTGGCGGTGTGTCCCGTAAAACCAATTCAGTTGAGATTCTTGTCCACCTGTGAGTTTTGGGTTGGGAATATTGAGAACATTATATAAAAAAAATCAACATGCCAGATAGGTTACATTTTAAAGTCAATATCGTCTAGGGTCTGTTAGTCTGCCACCATATGTTATCTCTTTTTCTTTACAAATCCAATGTTGTTTTTTGTCTGTGACATCATCAGACAGTCATAGCAAAGGCTTTTATTCAGATTTTTTTTTTTTTACTTAACCCTAAAATATACAGTGGCATAGTTCATTATTTAAAAGGTAGAAATATATTATCCCAATTACTGACTAAATTTTGGCTTAACCCAAAAATATACAGTGCCATTGTTAATGATCTGAGAGGTAGGAATATATTATTAAAATGTACTGACTGTTTTTTAACCTATCCCTAAAAGATACAGTGGCATTGTTAATCATTTCAAAGGTAGAGATATATTTCAATATTTACTGACTGTTTTTCATCAAAGCTGAACTGGAAAAGGTTGTTGGTGATCTTGGCTCCACTCTGTCCAGAGAACACATACATGCAGTCCCTGGCCACAGCCAGAGCAAAGTTACAACAGGTCGGTGGTATGTCCCCACTTTGGTGGACCTTGAGGGAAGACAGATTTAACCAAATATTTGTTGTTACAGGCTCGGCACAAAGATATCAGAGTATGAGAAACGCGAGTCGTTTTTAAATGAGGACACCCAGTGGCCTGAGATTATTGAGTTTAATGTGCATTTCATGGTTGAAGAAAAATAATTGTTCGGCAGTTTAAGTAATTTTCTATTCTCTTTCAATGGTAGGACATTTGTGAATAGCTCTTTAGTGAATGTCATGTTCCAACTGGACACTTAAAATCCAACATAAACTGAGTAGCTCACAATGGCCATTCAATACATATCAAGCATAATTATCGTAATTAATATGAGATCTTTAATGTCAACAGCCATTATTACAGCAAGCTACCTTATCATGGGGTGTTATGTTGAAACGCATTAATAATTTCTAAGAAAAAATGTTAACTGAAGAGATTGATATTTGTTTTTTAAAGTTAATTTAACATTTTATGTTGTATGTGTTTCTGTCCTTTTTTATTATCTTGATCTCCCATTTTATTGGTGAACGTTCTTAGCATGGGCTGAATAAACTTAATTTAATTGAGAAAAGAACACTGAAACCCCCTTTGGGCCTTTGAAGAACCACTTTAAAAGCTCGGCAAATATATAAGGCAAAGGTTATAGAAGATGATTTTACTTCCTCCCATCCTTTCACTTCCCCGATCAACGAAATCGTCCACATATCGTTGAGCCTCGCATTCCCATCATAGCCGGCAAATATCCAAAGTTTGCCGTCATAAACTGCGGCTCCATGTGCAGCGCGGGCAACAGGCAATCGTGGCGTCCTGGGAACGGTCCGGCTGTTCACTTTGTTAGGTAGAGGGTCACGAAGGTCATCCCTGGTGGATAAAATAGCCAGAGCTGATGCTTGACCATCAGGTTTCACTTAACTTATTAAAAAAAAAAGCTTTTAGAAAATTCAAGGGACAAATATGATCAGAACATAATTAGAAGAGGAGAGCCCTTTGAAACTTTTTAGTTGCAACCTGAATGCACCATATTTATTTGTGTTTAAGTCTGATAGTGAATCAGTATAATTCATATGTGAACGTAATTCTTACCTGGAATCAAACTTCCACTCAATCCATTGTCCTGTGTTGAACTTGTACTCAAATAGGTCATTCTTGTTGGTCAGATTGCAGTTGGAGTGAATATCTCCAGTATACCCACCTGAATAAATAAATTTCTTCAATACCCCTCTGAGCATTGCTTCTAATAAATGGAAAGCATTTCTCTGGTACCGACTGTTAAGCCTTACCAGAATGTTTAGTACACATCCTACACAACCATAGGTGAAGTGTGTAGAGAGAGAATGAGAAAGTGAGCATTCAACAGAGTCATGTAGGTGGGGGAAGGGACACACAATAATAGTTGTAATGATGGTTCTTGTAGATGTTGTGTTTTTTTTATGGCCTTACAGCAGCTGTAAAGTTAATAGTTATTTTACTAGTAGTCATAATAATAATAATTATAATAATAATAGTAATAAAAATAATAATAATTAGCAATCATAACTTTTTACCATATTTTTATTACTGTATTTAAAAAAAAAAAATATTTTTGTTTTGTTTGCTGTACATAACTGTAGTGGAGAAACAATGGTTACTATTTTTTAGTACTGGTTCTGTGCCTGTGCCCAAGATTCACCACTTATCATAGAACCCTGTGGGCAGACATTCTGTTCTTGGGATTATTATTTTATGTTACTAATGCCCAACTCTTTATAAAGTTCATCTGACTGACGTTATAAATATTAACACTATGCAAATTGCACTAGACATTTCCATTAAAGAGTTGGTGTCAGCTTATATAAAATAAAAGCTCACCAAAGACAAACATGCTGCTCTCATGGACAACGGCTGAATGGTGGTATCTTGGTGCAGGTGGTTTCCCCGTAGTAAATGCACGGCCCCAGGATTTATCTTTTACATCAAAGCGAAGAAGATCGTTCAACATATTTTTCCTAAAGATTTTGGGGAACATCAATATTTTTAAAAATTCAGCTTGTTTTTAGTTTAATCTTAAGATTTAAAAAAAAAAAAAACTTTTTAGCAAAAACATACAGATTTTTTACACATTTCCAGCAGGGTGAGATTAAAAAAAAAAATATTTGTGAGTTTAAAAAACAACAACATATGCTCATATAAGTCATCTCAGCAAATAACAGAAAGTGATCATGCTTGGATAGAAAGTTAATAAAATCTAAACCCACCCATTATCTCCACCAAAAACATAAAGAGATTCCTTATATGCCACAACTGTGTGCTTGCTTCTCCTGAAAAATAAAGTGCAATTTGTATTCAAACCTTTCAAAAAAACTTTTATTTAACAAATATTAGAACATTTAAATTTATTTGTTAAAATATAAATATGCAGTTTTTTTTTTTTTTAGAAATTGAATCGCAAAGTAGGCACACCATTCAATTTTTATGCTACAAAAAAAAAAATAAATATACATGTAGTCTAAGAAATATAAGTGCTTTCTGTGTCGCAAAACAGTAAGCACAGTTGGTTTAAATTTAATTTAAAAAAAATTATATTTCAAATAAAAACTCTACTCAATACATTAAGTCATTAAAACGATGTTTAAAATTTTGAATATACATAACATGGCTTTCATTGGTTGAATAATAAGCAAAATAATAATTTTCAGGCAACTGACTGGCTAATGTGATTTCAATTATCTAACTCAGGAGTTTCAGGTACCAACAATGTCAACAGCTTACCTGGCGCCTACAAATTCATCACACTCTGGCATTGGTTTCCACATGTGAACAGTTTCAAAAGGACCAAAGTCTAAAGTTAAGCACTCTGTACTCTCAGGCCAGTTGTGATCAAAGTCCATGCCAGGTGGACGAGCAATTGCCATTTTTAACTTTTGCACTTTTTAACAAATCTGTAATTTTGAAAATGTTGTAAACCTGTTTAACTGAATGTTTTGTGTTATAATCTGTAGTTTGAAAAGGTAAAATTGTACAGATGAATAACTTATGTTTCTTCGATTAAAATGTATACAATACAAAGTTTATCCATTGAATACTTTGCTTATTTAAAAGTAAATTAGAAAACATGAAAGTTTCAGATAAATAATGAATGACATTATCTGAACATAATGATGGCTGCAACTGCAAGTTCTTAGGCTACAGTTGAAAACTTCCAATTCAATGACTATGAAAAAAGCATAACATTAAAATGTATGCTATTAATATAATATATGAGGGTATAAATGAATATGTGGTTACTAATATTACCCATTGTACTTAAGGTTGTTGTAGCTATACGCTCCCAGATTCTACTTAAGGTTGTTGTACACACCCTAATAGTAAGTATTGGTAAAATTTCAAAGCTTTAAAATATCAATCATTTTTAGTTGCTGATATCTAGATGTAATTTAAAGACTTAAAGTTATAGGCATATGGGCCAAAAATAACTAAATAACAATTATGAAGTAATCCTTGGCTTTAGGAAATCTCTCGCTAAAAAATGTTAAAAGTCAAGGCATGAAGTTACCATTAACTTTGTTCCATTGAGACATTCAGAAAAAATTATTAATAATAAATATTTAAAAAATGAATTCCCACATCGTTGTTATATCAGAAATATTAAACCATTCTTACTAATAGATACTAAACCTATATCACAACCAATTTTTCTTGATCTGCCAAGTGCAGTCATTTACTTTGTCTAATGACTTAGACAAGACTGAGGGTTGAAAAGTTAAAGAAGAAGAAATACTCAGACTGATTCACTGAATTTATTTTATATGTCAGTGGTCTGTGGTAAATAATTAATGCAAGACTATAATAATCATTCTTAGGACTAATAAATTTGCATGTAAGGTATATTGCAAGAAGGAGTAATTATTGTGACTTATTATTTCCTTTATAGGGCATAATAGGGCTTGTCTCAGGGATCCACCAGGACTAAAATTAAACAAGATTCTATGTGAGAATTGTTATATATTTAATAATATATCCCCAACAGGTAATGCAAAGAGATGGCGCTGTGACGTCATTTACATGTTTTTGTTACGTTTCTGTTTTGGATTCACTCCCCTTATTTTTTTGTAAATAGAGTTACATTTTCCTTAATATGACGATGACATGTTTTATAAAATTTGTATTGTTTGATTCATTATAATTTTAAAATTTTATTGGTTGGCTTATTATAATATTTTATGTGTTCCACCACCTTTGACACGAATTGGATCCATAGACAGGCACTGTATTTTATTCATTTTCTGGATAATCTTGTCGGTGGAAAATGAAATAAAGCGTGTAAAAGTTTATTCTATGAAACCGTTAGTTGGGTTTTCATTATTTCTTTATTTTATAATTATTTTTGACCGTTTTAAAATTGTTTTTGTTCATTTTCATAGTTTTCTTGCCACACTGTGTAAATCCCACATGTTTTTACTTTCGGCTTTGGCTTTAGGGATAGATTTAGTGTTCAGGTTAGGTTTAGGGATAGATTTAGGGAGTTCAAGTTAGGGTCAATACCCAGGTAGGTTTAGGATCAATACCCAGGTAGGTTTAGGATCAATACCCAAGTTAGATTTAGGGTCAATACCCAGGTCAGGTTTAGGGTCAATAGCCAGGTTAGGTTTAGGGATAGATTTAGCGTTCAGGTTAGGTTTAGGGATATATTTAGGACATTTTGTCATTATTTTTTAAAGTTTTATTCCTAATTTTAGCAAACGTGAGTTATTTTATTTTTCCATGGTTACTATCTTGGTCGCCCGACCTGTGAACCTGATAAAGTTCAGGATTCCCTGCAACCAAGATGGCGGGCATGTGATTGGTCAATGTGCCATCTCTTTGCATTTACCACCCCAACCAAGTACTGGTGTAGATTAGAGAGTAGGGATCTGATGCATTGGTCTTGATTGGGAATTGGGGAACATCTGGTCTATATAAATATAAAAGTTTAAAAGACTGCCCAGGGCCAGGGTAACTGTACAAAGCTTTATTGCTGTTCACTGTCCTCAGACTGTCCTGGCTGGCCAATGTGGGAAAAAAAAAAAGAAGGGCCAAGGTTCTCCTGCCATTCCACAAACTGTCAACACTAGTCTGACACTAGACTAGTCTCAATTTATTTTTTATAATCTTAGTCATTCTTAGTTTAACCGTAATTTTGTAATTATAATTTAACCTAATTTTACTTTTCGATCCCTTTACTGTATAGTTTTTAGTCATGAGTAGTCAGTAGTTTTAATTTTAATTCTGCTTACTAAAAACTATTCTAAACTAGCTTTAGCAGTGCAGTGTATAAAAAAACAAACAAACAATGTTTACATACCGAGCCCAAATGACAACATGTATTGTTGAAATGTGCAACCATAAAACTAAGTTAGACGGATCAGACTTTGACTTAGAGAAATGTATCGTAACAAATTGAGTTTTTTGGCTTACCAGTTTTTTTTAGACTCCACCGAAATGGAGAGCTCCCAAACAAACTAAAATACGGAAATAAAATAAAATTAAAAATATTATGGGGAAATAAAATTTCGGAAACAAAGCAATTTTTTGTTGTTGAAGTAATCAGTTTACTACAACTCAATTTAATAATTTGTACAATTTGACATACATATACTTATGCTACATTTTAAAGGTAATTATTTTAGTGTTATTGATGGTGGTGCAAAATCTAAGATCCGTAATGCCGTAATTAATTTAAAAAAAAACAATTAATAATCCTAACATATTAATTTTAAAAATATAATTTTAAAAAATAAAATAAAACACCTTATCAGAATCTTCAAACTAAAAAAATCAGCTGTCTATCGCTACTTTACTTGAATTTGAGTTGTATAAATTATTATTATTTAATTAATTAATTCAACATCATAAATTAATGACATGCAAAACAATTCAAGAAAAAATTATTTAAGGTTTTAAAAACACACATCATACATCAACAACATTGTCACTATATATTGTTATTATTATGTATTTTTATAACTATCTATAAAAACAATGTATCTGGAAATTTCTTTGAAAAGAATGTGTTTGACCTGAAACTTGATCAACGGAGGTGTGGGAGTGGGTGGAATATGGTCGAACGGAAAATTGGTCGAAAGAAAATTGAAACTGAGGATCCTGATTCATTCTCATATGGACTAGTGTTCACAAAATATTTATTATTGTGCCGAAATTATTATTATTATGTTTACTAATGACCATATGGAAATCTAAGTCCTGAAATTAAACAAGATATTATTTATTATTAAACGAATGTAATTGTTTTGTTAATTAGATGTTACCCTTTTTTATCGCATTTAAGAATATTTTTATAGTATCCTCTTTACTTTCTAACTCCAGTCTCTACTATAATAACAAAATTGTGATTTCAGTGTGAAATCCCTTTCTCTCTCTCTCTCTCTCTCTCTCTCTCTCTCTTGTGCAATTAATGTACAGAGAAAAAGAGAGATAGAAGGGTTGTGGACATTTTAAAGTGTACACTATTTGTGTGCCTTCTGCTCTCTTACGATTTTTAGTTTAACCAAGATTCCAGGAAAAAAATACAGTTAGGGTTTACGTTTACTCAACTGAGTAACTGAGCTTTGTTTAGAATTTTGAACGGATACTCGGATCGCTTTGCAGTTTGTTGTTCATAGTGGAACTTACTAGATAGGTTACATATATAGGTGATACAAATTATAATATTTGTTGGAATGGCAACTCTTAAAGTTGGAATTCTAATTGAATACAACTTTGAGGAACCGGAGGTAATCACTATCTTATATTATTATCTCCAAAAAAAATTAAAAACTAAATTATGAATTTAATGGAAATAGTCAAATTTAGTAAATACATAGACTTAAGAATTTTAATGAGGTGGCAGTCACAGTGGACTTGGTCCTCAGTGGAACCCCAACACTGTAACTGTTGTTAGTTGTTAGTAAATGTTAGTTAGTGTTCATTGACGAATATTGATTGTGTTTAATTTAAAAAAAAATTATATTTATTCCAAATACTCAATTAATAGTAATAGGGAGATAGGGCTTAGACTTAGAAATAGTAAAGTTAGATAGGATAGGCTAGGGCAAATAAATAAAAAATAAGGTACTATTTTATGAATAACATCTTAAATCTTAATCTTATTCGATCATTACATTACATGTTTTTGACAATTGTATTTAATTTTATTATATTGTGATGATACGGGGACGTGAGGGATTGAAAATCAAATTGCAATCATTGAAATGGCTTCTGATTGAAATTCCACAAAAGGAATGGGTCTCGATTTTTTTTATCTTTGAACTGAAAAAGTGAAAGGCAGGTAATAACAGGTAATGGAGGGCATTAAGCACCATGTTTTCAAGAACTTTTTGTTTTTCTCTTTGAAATAAATGAATAATATTTAATTCAAACTGAAAATGTTTTTAAATAACAGATCACACATCTTTCTTGAAGTACAAAAGCTTTAATGAGCAAAATTTAAAGCCATATAGTGAAACAAGGGTTAAAAAGTTAAAACTAAGTTACTTACTAAGTAAAGTATGAATTAAATTTAAAAAAATGGGGGCAATTAGCTCCAGCATGTTCAATGCATATATTTTCACATAGGTTGTAGGCAATTCTGACAGATCCATTCCATGGCTTCAATATCAGATTTTTCTGGGATTTCATTATCAAAATTATATTTTAAAAAATGTTAAACCTATTTCTACAAATTAATAACTTTTGTTTACAATTGAAACTTTATCTGTCATAATCTGTTTGATGCTATTTGAATTAAAACATGGATTTTATTAATCTGATCAATATTATTTGGTTGTTTTAATCATCTTTTAACAGTTGCGGGTGTTAAGCCCCTGCTATTTAAAATATTCATTTTTATAAACTAAATAAATAAATAAATAATCTACAGAACCATATCTCTTTTACAAATGCTTCCTATTCAAAATATTAGAAGGAACTTTAGTATTAAAGTTAATTTTAGAGCTTTTATAAACAATCTCTAGAACATTCATCCAACTGCCATTTTACTTTGCAAAAATGATCAGCTTCATTTGCTCTACAAATATCAGTGTTTTAACTCATTCATTACATACACATAGAAACTAAAAAACTTTTACTGTAGAAATAAAATTTCAAGTAAAAATATAAAACAAGCACCTTATTAGCTGAAGTTTTACAAAGGGTTTGAGGAAGGCTGAAAACTAGAGGGTAAAAGCACTCATCTAAAAAGGCAAATTAAAAATCAATCCCACAGGTTAGAAACCCAAGATTGGTTGTAAAAAGTTCTCTGATTGGTTAGTAAGTTTCTGTCAACTAAAGCTTAATTCCTTTCTTTCTTCTTACAATAATATCAAGCATTTTATTGTATGAACTGAGCAATTAGGGCTTAATACCCCATGGAGCCAATAACCTCCCTTTACCCCAAATGTTTGTGGCATTTTATTATTATTATTATTATTTAGGCATTTTTGCATAGCGCTTACCTTACAGCTCTAAGCGCTTTACAATTATTAAAAATATGTAAACTATTTAAACTGCTAAAGCAAAATAAAATTAAAAAACCAGAGACACTAGAATAGTAACTACAATGCCAGAGTGGAATTTTCCTACAGTCTACAGTTTAATTCTGTACCTCACTTACCATCTTTTTGACAATAAATACAACCAGAAACATGTCACTACCTAAACATACGGCTAGAATATAATAATAATGCATTAATTATTGGTTTCTTCCATTTTTTTATATTATATCAGTGAATGTCAGTCATCTACAGCATTTGCAAAATCAAATCCATATCATTATTATAATTTAGGGCAACCATGTTAAAAAAACGCGAAAGAATTAATTTTTTAAATCCTATCTGATATTCTGTGCCCACTATGCATCATAATGTGGATGTGAACTTTAGGACTGTAATATAACATATTTTTAAGAAATTTTTTAAAATGTTTTTTTAAAATAACAGCTTATATATCCATACTACCGAATGAAAGAAGCTGGATTTGAAACTGTTCTCATTGGGCCTGTTGCAGGAAAACAATACAACGGCAAACATGGATACCCTGTGACATCAGAAGTTGCTATTGACAATATTTCTGCCAAGGTACTTTTAAATATGTGAATATCTTGAATGTTTTATGGACTAGATAACTTATAATTGTCAGTTTGACCCCCCCCCCCCTTTTTTCCCTTTTTTTTTTCCTCACTGGCCTGTGACCACCACCCTCTTTCATCTCATAAAATAAAGATTCAAATAATATTACTATCTAAGCATGATTTTTTAAAAATAAAAAATATGAATGTCACCCAGATTTTTGTTTTGTTAAGATTATATGTTGTTTTTTTTTTTGATGAATCTGGTAGATAAACTTTTCAACCCCTCCAAAAAGTGTCAATCAGGGCAGATTGCAGACCCATCTCTTTCCTGAGCTTTTGCCTCACATTTCCTCCATTAGTTCTTAAATAATAATAATTATAATAAAGTACTTTTCAAAAACACGCTTCATCTCTAATTAAGGCTTGAAGCCTTATATATTTATATATATAGCCTTAATTAGCGTGTTTTTGAAATGAACTTTATTATAAGAAATATATATATATATATATATATACATATATATATACTTATAATATATTTCTCAGATGACATGCAAACATTTTGATTTAAAAACTTTATACAAATATATACATTTTATTTTTACATTTCAGGACCTTTGTGCCCTTATCATCCCAGGTGGATGGGCTCCTGACTATTGGAGACGGGATAAGAGATTTTTAGACTTAATAAAGGACATTGATGAACAAGGTATGTTATTTTTTAAATTCTTAAATTTATTTCTTTTTCAATCTTTTGAACTATTTAAAAAAAAAAAAAACTAGTTTAGGGAAAGACTATAGAAAAAGTGAAATTTATAAATTATCTACAATCTTTATATGGTACCAATTTTAAATTCTAACCTGAACTAACCTGAAAATCTTTCTAATTTCTAATGTAACTGTTGATTAAAAATGTGTTCACAAAATATAAAATATTATTGATTCCTCATAAACATATGTACATATAATTAGAGCAGTAAAACTGAATTTTTTAAAACAGCTTTTAAAAAGCATGTCATTTACTCGGTAGAAAATAAACAAATTTTAAAATATATACAGGCAAACCATTAGCCACAATTTGCCATGGAGCTTGGATGCTTTGCTCTGCTAAAATTTTGAAAGGGAGAAAAGTTACTTGTTTTTGTGCCATCAAGGATGATGTGGAAAATGCAGGGTGAGCTCCCATTTAGTTGAACTTGTACTTTTTAAAAAAAAGGGTAATATTTTGTTTATTTTTTATTTGTCTCTAATATAGTGTTTATTATTTTTTATTTAAAAAAAAAAAATTCAAATATAAATAATTATATTTGTATGTGTGTTATCAGCTGTTGAATAACTATTTACAAATATATAGCTTTTATGGATGAGGACAGTTTTTAAAAAAAGGATTCTAATGCACCCTTCATTTTGTTAATATATATATATATATATATATATATCTAAAAAACAATTTTTTCCTATTGTTATTAAAGAATTCAGTTGAATATAAGGTCAGCAACTTATCATAGTTTAGTTAATATGACCTGTTGTAGAGAGAGTCTCTGAATTGAATATTACATTTGGCAAAAAAAAATGGATGCCCCAAACAACTAATGCAAGTCACTCTTGTCTGCATGATCAGTCCTTCACTTATCAGTCTCTCCTATTTATTTGGCAACAACATCAAACTCCTTGTACCTCACAAGTGGAATGTAAACTTTTATACTCGTTTGAGCTCTGTCGCCAGCTAGCCGAGTAACTGCTCCCTTTCTCTTTTACTAGTTTCTACTTACATTCTCCATGAAGCCCTTATAAGCAAGGTGTGCCATCTTTTAAATGGGTCCACTTTTTTTTTTTTATACCTTAACTGATTCTCATCATATTTTAAAAAAAATTGAAGCTATGTTACGCACTTGCATAGCATTCTGAGTGGCACTCTCTCACAAAAACCCTTTCCCCCAGCACCCCACACTCCAATAATTTTTTTTTCTCTCAGCAATTCTTAATTAAATATTCCTAAATTATTTATAATTGTGTTTGTCACAGTGGGGTGTATGAAGACAGCCCAGTTGTAGTTGATGGAAACCTCATATCATCCAGGATACCTAAAGATTTGCCAGATTTTTGTAAAGCCATTTTGGCCAAACTTGGATCATAATAAATGTGTTATGAAATGGAAGTCACTATTTTCAAAGTGTGCTCAATATTGTTTAATATGTTGAAAATGAAGTGGCGTGAAAGACTATTTGATAAGCTGATTTGAAACAAGTTAAATTTCTTTTGAAAGGACATTCCCGTAAGTTAATGTTGAAAGTGCTGGTGGGTATGGACTAAATTAAGGGGAAGTGCATATGGCGAGTATGTAACTTGGTAAAAAAACTTTCAGAGATTATGAAAGCCCCTTACCCTTGTGATCATCTTTGCTCTAATTTTTATGAAAGTTTTATTTTTTTTATTTTTTGATATTACCAAATTCTATAACAAGACTTGTTCTGACTTGTTGTTAATTTATGTCTTTATATGAGCTGCGTCATTAAGTTTAGAATGAGCTGTGTTGTTATTTTAAAAAAATAATTAAAAAATCCAAAGTTTGGTCATTACACAAGAATTCTGATATAGTTTTTTAAATATATTTTAATTTAACATTAGAACAACCTATAATCAACAAGTGTATTATTTTTTTTTTAATTTCTTGTTACAAGTATTAGTAAGCAATAACAAAAAAAAAGAACATTTTTATAGAGGTCAGAGGCAAAATATTTTAATTCATTACAAAAGAAATGACTAATTATCTTTATTAAAAATTAGCATAAGTCTCAGTCAAACACATTGTAAGTACCATTTACCTTACCTATTTTGTAACAAACCAAAAGTTCATCAGCCATGTACTTGGACACATTCCATTTATATAAGGCTATTTTAGTAACTTGTTTATTCACGTTATAAAAATATATTGAAATGAATAATGCAAATTGGTCTTTTGTTGAATATTTACATAAATACTTTTCTTTAACGCAATTCAGTTCCCATGTAAATTTACGGGCTTTGAAAAATGCTATGCAGGATATTCACATATAGAAACAAGTTGTTATCAAATGTGCAGATTAATAGTATACATTTTAGCAATCTGTATGTTATTTTTTTTATACATGTATATGATGCGTACGTTCACACATTTTATGAGGGCTACAAATATTTGTTAATTTCTTTTCAAGCAAAGTTTGTTCAACTTTTTTTAAAGTGGAACTTTTTCTGAATATAATATAATAATAATATAACTTATTATAACTCAGTTTTTTTTTTTTAAATTTGCTGCCACCTCCCTGGATACATATTTTTATTTTTATTAGTTAGAAGCCTCCTCACAGTGTAAATTAAACAAGGGGGCTGAACCCCACAACTCTAAAAAAGGGAAGCGATCCGAAAGTTTAGCACAACAGATTAAATAACCACCAATAATTTAATATTTATTAACACATCATCAAGTGTCGTATTTATACATGCATGACATCATGACAACAAAAGGGAAAGATACATATTCTGTTATAAGTGCGAGACATTCTTGATCAGTAATAACATATAGATTTTACGGGCCTGTTAAATAGCATTTAAAATAACCTGGTAATAAATATGGAGAGAAATTAGTCATTCCAACACAATCATCAATCATCTATAATATGTATAACATAAGTCACTTAGATGGATCAAGCTCTCTGTGTCTATATCTACAAGCAACATATGGATTAAAATAAATATGTATTTACAATGTTGTTAGCAGCATAAAGGTAATTTCTTAAGTTAAAGGGTCACTATACGCATAATGTGAACTGTTCCAGCTCCACTATGTACAAAATTTAGTTTGAAACCAGCCGGGTCACTATGTACACAGATTATGTCAAACTAGCAAATGTCAAACAATTTTTGATCCACAATACACAATTTTTAACTTTCAAAAGTCTCTCATTCTGCAATCATCAATTATCACTTTATTTTGATATCTTCTTAATAATTTTTCTGCTTTATGGGGGTTTTTTTCCTCCTTGTGCCACTCCCTCTCACTTTACACAATCTTTCATATTATCCCTGTGTCCCTCCCTTGATACTACCTCTAAATGCACGCTGTATAGAAATAGGACAGCCAGTCGTTTGATACACCTTCAAAAGACATTTGAAACAATTCCTTATCATCAACACATGCAGGAAGTATTCTGTGATCATGCGACAGTTCTCCTCACCTCAGTTAAATCTTAGCAACAGTCTTCTTTAATGTGTGATGAGTTAAAGACTGTGTAAACAGGTTCAAATGTACAGGAGCAGGTTGAAACTCAGTTCCCTTAAACAAATAGAGGTGATGGAAGGGTTTGAAGTAACATGCTTCTATAGATGGGATTGATTTGTTTATGGGTTTATACAGATGGTTCTGAAATATGAAGTCTATGGCCATCTGGATATACAAGAAAGTACACCGGGTGGCAGTAGTTGCTAGATTTGGCCGAAATTCTTGATCAGAGTTTTTGGGGGACCATCACTCAGAATCTGTAAGATATTAAAATTGGATTTTTAAAGATAACGTTTATTTTGACATTTAACTTTTTTTTTTTGATGATATTTAACTATAACTTATAACATAATGGTCACACATAAACATATTGAAATCACTGCTATGTAAATCTGTTGGTGATATAATTGTTTTACGGTTATTTCACTTAAATTGTAGAAAATTCTGATAAAGAATATAAATACACTATCAGAGCTGTGGCTCTCATTAGTTACATGCTAGGTCTATACATTTTCATTAGTAATTGCAATTTTATTCAATGCTACATACGAAATTAATAATTTAATATAATATAAATATATAAACTAAAATTGGAAGGAAAAAACAACAACTTATCATTGAATCTGCTTTCAACTTACAAAAATATGTCATTTAAATTTAAATTACAAAACATTTACTTTTTAAACTAAGTAACTCTTCAAACTATGGCAAAAATTAGTCATTTCTGTAAGTTCTCTCGAATTTACAGTCAAACTCTTTATTCGTACTTGTAAAGCTAGACCAGAAACTGCCAGTTCTATGGTGGGCTTCAGAGGCCCCCCTTGTAACTACTCAAAAACAATGATATGTTGCGGAAAGGAGCTCACCGAGGCATGTTGTGGTTAGCTTAACTGTTTAGAGCGAATGATGATTATACCGGAGGAATTGAAAGTTCTTAAATAAAAGAAAAAAAAATTCAAGCCCACTTTTTTTTTTTCTTTCTTTTTTTTTTTAACAGTTAAGAGAAACTTCATTGTAAAAAAAAAAAAAAAAATAAAAACGACTTTTTTTTTTTCTTTCTTTTTTTTTTTAACAGTTAAGGGAAGCTTCATTGTAAAAAAAAAAAATTCCAAATTTGAAGTCACGTGACATCAATAGGGCCTGACAGTGACTTAAAATCAAAACCAGTAATGAATCAGTTTAACATAATACCCCCACGACATAAAATCACAGATTGGGAAATAAATTGTGTTCAAATAAACATCTAACCGAATTATGCTTTCTTACACCGCACTCCAAACTATTTAATCATTGACTCGTCAAAATGGACAGACAGTTTTTTTCTGCCAGTGTGTTGTCTTTTATTTCTTGTAAATTAAAGGGAATCAAATAGAAAAATTTGTCACAATCTCAAACGAATCATTTCCCTAGCTAGTACGTTAAGAGATAAGATTGCAAAGATCAACTTAGAGAGTTACCTAATACCGGGCACAGTTTTAATTGACACAAATCAGGAACTGTCAATGTCAGAGATGAGTCTGGTTTATATTAGCTTGGTGCAGTGATGAAGATGGATCCTAAATGATAGTTGTCTAAATGATAAATTTATGAATGATTATTGTATTAAATGATACATTTATTAATGCAACAGTTCAATCCAGCACATATTGGATACATTAAATAAAACAATAAATAGTAGGTCAATGATGGATTTAGGCATCGCCGAACTTAATTAAACAGCTTTTTTTTACAGACTCTTATGTTTGTGTGTGTGTGTGGTATCGTTGTCATTCAAAGAGAGAAAGTTGCAGCTAATCATAATAGCAATTAGCATTTGTCTGAAAAAGTTGAAAAAGAAAAGTAAAAAAAAAAATTTGATATCTTGTTTTAAATTAAATATTTTTAACAATAGAGTGTGGCCTGTGCAGACAGTATGAGAACCATCAGGAATTTTGGAAAAGGGGGGGGGGGATAATTTAAAAAAAACAACCTTCTTGCAAATTATCTTTCCCCCCCCAACCCATCTGCTTGTCTACTTGCCCCGTTATATATAAAATCTTACACATTATATATTCACCTCCCACATCTATGCACAGTGCATTGCTACCATTAGTCTTATGGTAAACCGTGGCGTCCAACCGTGTGGTCATTTATAGATCTTAAGGGATTTTCAACAACAGCAAAAAATGTTGAGGATGTCTCCTCTGGACATCGCAACATTTTCATCTTTAGACAGAATATCGGCTTTAAAAGAAAAACGATTAAATTTCTACTCATAAATATGGAAGCACACAAAAATTCAACAAAAGAATTATCCACACATTACAACCAGTGGTCACTCCCCCGTTGTTCCCCGACCTGGCCGAACTGTCTTTCAGCTTCCCCACCGACAATTCATTAATATCCAACGGATACGGTGTCGTCATGTCGCGTCGTTCGGTAGAGTTATCCTCCCCGATTTCGGCGGGAATGACGACATCAATTTGCTCTCGCACCGCGCCCGGCGACCCCCGATGCTTCTTCGTCGCCTCCGAGTGCTCTGAAAATAGATTGTCAGCTTGGTGCAGATCAAATATTCGGCTCTTCCCTCTGTGGTCTTTTCTAATCTCGTTCGTCGCCCTGTCTATGACGTCCAAAAGGGGAGACGAACCGTGAGCTTTATTGCTTTCTTCGAGGCTGCTCGAATGATTTCCCCTTGAAGTGAAAATTGTCCTATCGGTGGTAATTTCCGTTTCATTATCATGGGCGTCGAATAAATCATCGTAATCTTCGCCGTTATTGTCGCCCGCCGTCCCGTTCCACAGGGGGCGCTGGCTGGGGAGCCAATAAGTCTCCTTCTCCTTATCGTAGAAGCGCTTCAGGTCGGCCGGGCCGTTGCAGAAGTCCCCCGTGCAGAAGCAGATCTCCGTGCCGCCTTTGTTGAGGCACGTGTCCGTGCTGTGCGTCATGTCGTGGGCGCAGTCGTACGCCGCCGTTGTACCTGATGAAACAGTCATGTAAAACTATATGATCGTTTGATAAGATTAAAAAAAATGAATAATTGTTGTTTACATTTAATAGGTGGACTTTCCCGGACGAAACACGCGTGGAGTACACAAAAGACATAGCCGCAGAGCTGAGCTCATCTCTAAAAATTTCTAAACAATTTTGCCAGTTGATTTTTTTTTTTTTTTAAAAATCATATTGTACTCGCATTTAGTTTTTTTTTTTTGTTTAATATGTAACTACTCTATCTATTTAATAAAAAAAAATAAAAAAAACATTATTATTGGCCCCCCCCCCCCCCCCCAATCTCCATTCTCCCGAGATATGGGAAACTATAAGCTTCAAGAAGTACTTTCTAAGTTAATTTCGTTTTCTACTTACTCAGTCCATTTAAAACCGCGGCACTCTTTTCCCCACCTCCTCCCACACCGACCATTCCCACAATGCATTATTTAAACGAAACTGTGAGAATTAACGGGAACATTCCATTTAGAAGCTTCTATTCAACCCCTATTGCACCCACATTTTTTTCCTTTCTTCCCTTTCCACCTAACACCTTCTTATAAGTAACTGAGAAGATTTTGAAAAAAAAAAACATAACCCATGATCTACTTTCAAACTGCAGATTATACTTAAAGGCACTGTCGTGGTTCGGGTGTGGCACATGGGGGTGAGGGAGATGGGCGGTCCATCCTGGGGGGGGGGGG